TTTGAATTGCATTCGTTCTTTCTCTCAGAAGCTATGTCAATAGAAGACAATATATACTCATAGCGGCTACTCTGAAAACAATATTTCTTACATTATCTGGGAGATAATTACAATAATTTAATTGTACCTCATTACACAGCAGTTGTCGATCGTTTAATATCGATTCAGCAAGCCTAATACACTGTCAGAACTCGAGGGGATTTCCGACTCTTTACAACCAATCAAAATTTGCACGACCACTCGCCGAACAAAATCTCCTGATGACTCTCGTAACCACACAATTTTCGGCTATGCTTGGCTGAGTTAACCGCTGACCAAGTGGCCGGACAACTGTGGTTACGAGATCTGGCTGCACTCCGAGAGCCACAAGTCATTTTGTCGTCATGGTGACGCGTAACGAAGCAACATCTGTAACTAAAATAGCGGAAGTTTAAGAATGACTCAAAAATCGGAGAAGCGATTCTGTGAGAAATGCTACTTTCTCTCCAAGCGATCCTATTTTACACAGCCGTATTTGTAGGTTCTCTAACTTCTTGCCTAGCTTGCCTTATTCCGTCAGACTTTGTAAAATCTACCTCAGCATAGATACTCCTGACTGGCGCGGATTTCGGTCCTGGCGAAGATTGTCGGCACGAACGCAAGTCAATATTTGGAGGGCGCCGGTGCTGTCGAGAAGGCGACTCGGACGAATTTTCAGTTTTGTTCAAGTCAAGCATAACGTAGTTAAGTTGAGTAATTTCTTCGTCTTCTCGAGTTGACCCCAGCGATGTGCTTCCTACACATTTTGGCGGTTGCAATCTCGCGGGTTCGCTTTCTCGTCGGTTTGAACGAGGTGATCTTCGCCACCGCTCGTTTTCATCCAGAACTTTCCCAGGCGAAAATCCGACGTAATCAAGCGCTTCTTCTAAGCTCGCATCGGTGTCGCCATTGGCTGACAAAATGTCATTGTTGCTGCTTTCAAAGGGTTTCCTCGGAGAAAAATTAACGTATTGGGGAACATCCACCGCGCTTTTACTTTTTGCAATACCGTTGAAATCAACGTTTTCGTATTCGCGAGGTTTTTCAGAAAGCACGGATTCCAAGCTATGTTTTCTAAAGTCGCTGGTCGCGGCTTCCTGTTCAATATTATAGCCAGGGTTAAAATTCACATAACTGTGCATGTCTTCGTACGAAGACGACTCGACCGAACCGTTTAGATATGTCCGTGGGCTGAGAGAATCGACTTGCGCACTTCTGTTTGCGAAAATCTCTCCCGGAGAATAGTTCACGTAACAACGATTTGACTCTTCTCGCTGATTGGTCGACATGAGATTCGGAGACCCGGGCCTCGGAGAGTTCGAGCCCGGGGTAAAGTTCACGTAGCTTCGAGATTCGTCTGCCGGTACGGCCAGCGGACTCATTGAGACATAATCCTGCCCAGAATGCCGACGAGAAGTGGATGGAGATTTCTTGATGCAGACGAACTCGCGGATGTCTGGTTTATTGGGCAGGGCGCTTTCTGTGGTCCTCCGTTGCCTAGGCGACGAAGATTTCTTCTGCTGTACAAACTCACTGCGGGCGCTCGGACTTTGAGTTTTCGCACTTCCATTCTGTTTGTCGAACTGTTGTTTCCTTGGTGACGTCATGTCCATGTAGCCCCCTTCGGGAGTAGTCTGCGTGAGTTTTGAGTTTGACTGAGTTTGAGGGTCTTTGAATGCTTTCACAGCTTTAAACTTCGTTGACTCCATGTCCACGTAAGAGCCACTGCTCTTGCGCTGGAGAAACAAGAGAGAGGAGGTGGTGATGACAAAGCCTTGAAATCCACGTACAAGGTAGGTCGCTTGCAGGCAAACAGAGAGACAGACAGACAGACAGACAGACAGATAGACAGACAGAGACAGACAGACAAAAACACAAACAGGCAAGCGGACCGTGAGACAGACAGGCAAAAAGACAAAAACACGAACAGGCAAGCATACAGTGAAACAGACTGACAGGCTAAAAGAAAAAAACAAACACGCAAGTAGACAGACAGACAGACAGACAGACAAAAAGGCACACAGACAGACCGACCGACCGACAGACAAGTAAAGACAAAAACAAACAGGCACGTAGACAGACGGACAGACAAAAAGACAATAACAAAAACAGGCAGATAGAACCAATTCATGCTGAAGAAGGAACACTTGTTATTATCCAACTGCAATCAGTGGAGTACAAAAAATACGCGAAACGGGTACCAAAAAACCTAGGACATTTGCACCTACTATGCAATGCGCCCACACCCACATCGAGGCAATGACGAGCAAAACTGATTTTCAAAAGAAAGAAATTACACCCGACCCAGTCTCGAAACAAAACACTCACTCGGTCTCCACCCATCTTCATGTAATCCTCTTCACTTGTCAGCTCCTGAACGTTTCCTGGTCCAATATTCATGTACTCTGTGCGGATAACATCTCATTTAGTACAAAGCAATAATAACTAAATTATAATATTTAGAGA